AGCACAACTTCACTCTATCGCCTTTCTCTTTGTTCTATATCGCTCTCCTTCATCCCAAGATTGCACTATTCTTGATGCTATTTCTGATCAAATTGACCAAGCCCTTTCTCTTTATCCATCGGCCAATATCGTCGTTGTTGGTGACTTTAATGCCCATCACACCGATTGGCTTGGCTCTAGTGTCAGTGACTCTGCTGGCGTTAAGGCCCTCAACTTTTGCCTTTCTCAATCTCTAACTCAAATAGTCAACTTTCCAACTCGTTTTCCAGACAACCCTAATCATTTACCTTCTCTACTCGACTTATGTCTTGTTTTGGATCCTAGTCAGTGCTCAATTTCTCCACATTCACCCTTAGGTACTTCTGATCACGGTTTGATCTCTCTAAAACTATTATCAAACTCTTCTACTTCATCAGAATCCCCCTATCATCGTACCACATACAACTACCTTAAAGCTGACTGGGACTCTTTCCGTGATTTTCTTCGTGATGGCCCTTGGGTAGAAATCTTTCGTCTTCCTGCTGACAAATGTGCTTCTTACATAACTTCGTGGATTCAGGCTGGCATGGAATCTTTTATTCCCTCTCGACGATTCCAGGTCAAGCCTCACTCTTCTCCTTGGTTTTCCTCACATTGCGCTGCAGCAATTTCTAATCGAAACCGTTACTTCCATATCTATCAGCAAAACAATTCTCCAGAAAACAGACATCTGTTCACTATCGGCAGAAACCATTGTAAAAAGGTTTTGTCTGACGCCAAAGCTCGCTATTCTCAGGTCATTAAATCTCGTATCTCATCACAAAAATTAGGCTCTCGAGACTTCTGGAGAATCTTTAACAGTATCAATAATAAGGGCAAATCTGTTATTCCTTCTCTCTTGTATGGTTCAGACTTTGTCACCTCACCTAAAGACAAAGCTGAATTGTTTGCTAAGAACTTTTCATCAATATCATCTCTCGATTCCACTAGTTGCATTTTACCTGACATAGCTGTCAAACAGGTTGATCCCTTGCTTGACATTCGCATCACTTCAGCCTCTGTATCAAAAGTAATTTCCTGCTTAGACTCTTCAACAGCTTGTGGTCCTGACAACATTCCTGTTGTAGTCTTGCAGAGGTGTTCTCCGGAGCTTTCATCCATACTTTCAAAACTATTTAACAAGTGCTTATCAGAGTCTTGTTTTCCATCATGCTGGAAAGCAGCATCTGTTATCCCTATTTTCAAAAATTCTGGAGAGCGATCTGATTCATCTAACTACCGTCCCATTAGTCTTCTTCCTGTCATAAGCAAGGTTTTTGAATCTTTAATCAACAAACACTTAATCTCTCATCTTGAATCAAATAACTTACTTTCTGATCATCAATATGGATTTCGGTCTTCTCGTTCTACAGCTGATGTGCTAACAGTAATAACCGATAGGTTTTACCGTGCATTAGATAGAGGTGGAGAGGTTAAGGCTATCGCACTTGACATTTCTAAAGCTTTTGATAAAGTTTGGCATGCTGGTCTTCTCCATAAGCTTTCTTCTTATGGTGTAGCTGGTAACATCTTTAAGATTATTGAGTCCTTTCTTTCCAATTGTAGTATAAAAGTTGTCCTCGATGGACAACACTCTTCTTCACATCCTGTAACTTCAGGGGTTCCTCAAGGTTCAATCCTTGGCCCTATACTCTTTTTAATTTACATTAACGATCTTCCAGATATTCTCACATCTAAGGTGGCATTATTCGCTGACGACACTACCATTTACTCTTGTCATGATAAGAAGCCTACACTCTCTGATTGCTTGGAGGGGGTATCTGAGCTTGAAAAGGATCTCACTTCTGCTACAGCATGGGGCTCACAGTGGCTGGTGAACTTTAGTTCAGATAAAACTCAATTTTATTCGGCCAATCGTTATCGTAATAATTTAGATCTTCCTATATTTATGAATGGTAATGTACTAGATGAGTCATCTACCATTCATCTTCTAGGATTAACTCTTACTTTGATCTTTCTTTTAAACCGTATATCAAATCCATTGCAAAATTAGCATCTGCTAAGGTTGCATCTCTTTATCGAGCTCGACACTTTCTTACTCCAGATTCTATTCTCTATCTCTATAAATCTCAAATCCGTCCCTGTATGGAATACTGTTGCCACATCTGGGGCGGATCTTCTAATGATGCTCTTTCTCTTTTAGACAAGGTGCAAAAACGAATTGTAAACATAGTTGGACCTGCTCTGGCAGCCAATCTCCAACCTTTGTCACATCGTCATAATGTTGCTTCTCTTTCTCTTTTCTACAAATACTATAATGGGCACTGCTCTAAAGAGCTAGTGTCCCTTGTGCCATCTACTAAAATTCATTCTCGTGTTACTCGCCATTCAATTAAGTCTCATCCTTTTTCTGTGACTGTTCCTAAGTGCTTCAAAAACTCTTATTCTTCTAGTTTTTTTCCTCGAACATCAGTTCTTTGGAATTCGCTTCCTTCATCTTGCTTTCCTGATTCATATAATTTGCAATCTTTTAAGTCATTAGTCAATCGTCATCTTGCTCTACAGATTTAGTCTTTTCTCTTCCAGTAACTTCCAACTCTTATAGTGGTTGCTTGCAGCCTTGTTGGAAGTGAAGTGTTTCAACTTGCGTTTTATAAAAATATAAAAAAGTTTTGTCTGCTTTGAAGCGTATTTTTGATACGTAGTTTAGAATGCGTTCGCTAGGAATTTAATTCTTTAAATATATATATATATATATATATATATATATATATATATATATATATATATATATATATATATATATATATATATATATATATATATATATATATACATATATATATATATATATATATATATATATATATATATATATATATATATATATATATATATATATATATATATATATATATATATATATATATGTATATATATATATATATATATATATATATTTTTATTTTAAGTGAAGCCTTTAAAATAAAAGCATATAATTAATTATTTTAATGATTGTTTACATAGATGCGTGTGTAAATTAATAAAAAATGTTTTTTTTTTTTTTATGTCAGCATGTATTTATTATGAAAAATTTAAATGTTTGAAACTATTTTCCCATATCTAAAAATAAAGCATTAAAAGCAAAAACTAAAAATCTTTTAAAGCATTAATTTTAGAAAGATTTTTTTTTTAAGTTACTTTAATTTATGAATAAGTTCAAAACTATTTGCAACTACTAGCTTTTACACATTTTATGTGAATTATACAAGAATATAAAATAACTTTATTTACATATAAGAATGTATTTTGTTGATTAATAGAAAAGTTTTGAAGCATTTGATAATGTTCATATGATTAACTTTTATATTATTTTTATCATATTATAATTTTATATTAAACTTATGATGACTTTATGTAACGTGAAGTAATTTTACGTGAAGCGTTTAGTAATAAAGTTGTAATGCTCAAATTAAAATTAAATTAAATTGCTTGTTGGCAGTTTATTTTATTTAAATGGCAGGTGAATTTTATTTATTTTTTTCCTTAATTTTTTTTTTTTTTTAATTCTTATTACGATAGGAATGAATGAGTTGAATTCATTTATAATATTTTTTAAATTCGTTACGAGAAACGCTTATTAATAAAGATGTAAAGCTCAAATTAAAATAAAATTAATTTGCTTGTTCGTAGTTTATTATATTTAAATGCGCCTGCATTATATTTAATTATTTTTTTCCTATTTTTACAAATAAAAGAGTTGGAAACCTTTTTTTTAACTAGACATTAATTAGAGCATGAAATTATTAAAAATTACTATTAAAAAAAACTGTATTATTTTTTTAAACAATTTTTTATTGCAACTTTTTTGAAAGTTTAAATGTAAATACAATTTAAAAATATTAAATACAACACTTTAATAAATTTGTAAATTTGTTCATTTATTAAACAATCATTAGTAGTAATTTGTTACTTAATTTAAAAGCGTTTTATGTAACTTTAATAAAATATTTAAAAAGATTTATTTCAAACGTAATTAAAAACGTAACAAAAAGTTCAACTTCGAGTTTAAGTTTTTATTTTTATTATAGTGCTTATATAATTTCTTTTTCATAAAGAATTTTTTTTCGTTAGGAATTTAGTTTTTTTTTTTAACTTTTTTCCAAGTTTAAGTTTAGTTTAACGTTCCTACATTCATCACATTTCTGAAATGTTTAAATCATCAAAACATATAAACAATCAAGGTCAAGTTGTCAAGAAATAAAATCATTTGCGTGGTCAGCAATAGCGCTCGATCGCACGCCATTCCTGTCTAAGCCTGTAACTGGCCAAGCTAAGATTTTTTTTTCTTTACAACTTTACCATGGCTATTTTGATGTTTTAACAATTTAAATGAGTTACATTATCAATAGCTTTTAATCGTTGATCTTTTATAAAGACTTTATTTTACACTAAGGCTTTAAATAAAACCATAAAATTAATTATAATGATTGTTTACATAAACGTACGTTTAAAAAGATAAGTTTTATTTCAAGCGTAATTAAAAATATAACAAAAAGTTTCACTTGGAGTTTAAGTTTTTTATTTTTTATTTTTACTTTAGTGCTTATATTTTTCGTAAAGAATTTTTGTTTCATTTCTTTTTTCGTTAGAATTTTTTTTTGTTAGTTTTTTTTTTAAACTCTTTTTTCATTTTAATTTAGCTTAGAGTTTTTACATTCTGATGTTTGAAAGCTTATTTCTGAAATGTTTAAATCATCAAAATTTATAAACAATATTAAATTGTGTGGTCAACAATAGCACTCGATCGCACACCATTCTTGTCCAAGCCTATATATACACTATATCTGTGTGTGTGTTTGTGTGTGTGTGTGTGTGTGTGTGTGTGTGTGTGTGTGTGTGTGTGTGTGTGTGTGTGTGTGTGTGTGTATAATATATACATTTTTATATTATACAATTTATATTATACTTTTTTATATTATACAATTGCGCTATTATTTTATGCTTTTTTTTATCACTAGCAATTGTTGTCTTCAGAGCTAGGAAATGATTGGAAAAGTTTATTTAAAGAGTTTAATATGATGCCATTTGCTGCTGCATCTATTGGTCAAGTTCATCAAGCAGTTACTCTCAACAATATACCAGTTGCTGTTAAAATTCAGGTAATTTTGAAAGTGTCATTGTTATTGTCTATTAAATTATTGTAATCTATTTTATTGTCACACTGACACTTTAGGCCATGTTTTTGTCATTTCTACTTATAAGTAACCATTTAGTTATTATTTTAGTATCCTGGTGTTGCTGAAAGTATTGACAGTGATATAGACACACTTCTTTCCATATTAAATTTCTCTAAAATACTTCCTGAAGGTATAATTTTCAAATTTAAGCAGAACTCAAGTAAATAAGGTGTTGACCTTATTTATACTTTTACATATATGTTATATATTATATATTCCTATATATATTTTATATTGTTATATATTATATATTTATGATTTTATATACATGTTATATATTGTATATTTATATACATGTTATATATATCATATATTACTATATATTTTACATTGTTATACACTATATATTTATGTTCAATTTATTATTTGACAATTTTCCTTTAAAAGATTTTCAAACTGTAAACACTTGCATCCTAGTTTTCTTCTGTTTTCATATTTTAGTTCTTTACTAATTTTTTACAGGTTTGTTTTTGGAGCAAGCAGCCGATGTTGCTAGAAAAGAACTTTCTTGGGAAGTAGATTATAAGCGGGAAGCTCAGTCGTCTGCAAAATTCAAGTATTATTAAATGGTTACTTAATGGTTAATAAATGTTTTTAATATATTATGCATTCTATATACGTTATGTCATTATGCCTGAACTAAACTGAAATAATCAATATTGACAATAAATTTATAGTTAATGATAAATCCTTTCATTTATATTATAAAATTATTTTCATTTATATTATAAAATTTTCAGAGAACTATTAGATGGTGATGATGACTATTTTATTGCTGATTGTTTTCCTCATCTGTCTACAAAGAGAATTCTCACTACTGAACTTCTTCAAGGAGTGCCACTTGATGAAGTTGCTTTTATGGATCAAAATACAAGAAATAGGGTGTTTGTAGAATTAAATATTTTATTATTTTTATTTATCTTTTTTTTATTTCTGTTCATCATATTTAATATGTTCTCAATTGGAATTGCAAAAATGCTAGTTACAAAATACAATATTTATTTTTTAAAGAACCAATATTATACAGGTATTTTTAAAAAAATGTACTGTATAATAGTCTACAATATCCAGTACTGCGTCCAAACATAATTCCATACCATTTGACCGGTATTAGGGCCCAAACTAAAAATTCCCTTAAACAAAAATCTTAAAATTGAACATTTAGAAATAAAGGAAAATAATTATTATTTATTAATGTATTAAAATGGTTGTTGTTGTAAGTAATTTTATAATTATGAGTAGAATTATAAATTATAAAGTTAGTTAAAAATTAACTTTATAATTATGAGTGTAATTATATTGAAGTTTATGATGCGCTTTTCATAAATTGAAATCACTTTTTTACAATAAAGCTTTTTAAACTATCATTATTGATCACGTGTTGCTAATTATTGAGCAAGTGAGGATTTTTCATTGTAATTTTATGTAAGATAGAGTGTGTATGAAGGAGCTTTGAAAGAGCTTATGTAATTATTTCTAACTTACCGGTATCTGACCATAATTAAAACTAAAAATTTTTAAGATAAAAAGTTTTTTTGCATTTACTTATTTATTTTTAAGATTAAGTCTATTTTATTATTTGATATTGTTATATATATATATATATATTTTTTTTTCCACATTTAATATTAGATTACCATTTTGGTAAAATGTGTTTAGTTTAAGGTTATATATTTAACCATACTATGTTTTAAAAGAGCAAACTGTCTTTGCTATGAAAAAACTCTTTCATTGTACTATTACTGATTTTTTCAATACATCAGTATAATAGGTTCTAGCCACTAGTCAAATGTAGTCGGTTTAGGTTGAAAATTTGATCAATTCAAAAAATTTTATTTGCATGATATTAAGGACTAATAAATAGTCTATGAAGAGTTTGAATGGTTTGGTGTACATCCTGACAAGAAAAACAACTTTTTAGGACATTAGGACAAATTTTTCCTCTATACTACTTATTAACTTTCTTAAACAAGGAGAAACTTATTCAATTTTTTAAACAAAATATTCAAGTACTAAAATATTAAAAAATATTCAAATATTAAAAAAACAAAAATTTAATAAAGTTTAAATAATTTATTTTTGTTTCAAACTTCATAATATTTTTTTATGTATTCACTCATATATCACTAGCATAGTTAATATATGTGAAATGCCTTATAATCATAGAGATCATTTATTGTCAGTATGTAAACCAAACAAATTGCTCTTATGGTCTACCAGCCTGCTTATTAGTCCTTAATATCATGCAATTAAACTTTTTGAAGTAATCAAATTTTCAAGCTAAACAACAACATTTAACTAGTGTATGTTAACATTTCTATTTTCTCATTCTCATTTAATATTTTTTTTATCTTTAAGAAAAAAAACATGTTTTCGCAAGCATCAACTACTAAAAAGACAACTTCAGCAATAGAAAAGGCTGTAAGGAAAGTAAATGCTGGCAACAAGTCCATCAATAAAACAGCATTATTGTTTGGAATATCAAAAGCCTATTTAGCAAAAGTGATTAAAAAGGTTAAAAATATTAAGGATAAGTAGGTGCATTGGCCAAAGATAGGTAACAAGCGCATTTTTTCTGAACCTGAAGAAGATTTATTAGTTATGTATCTTAAAACTACATCTAAAATGTGCCACAATTTGACAAAAAAACAAACAAGCAAACTAGCTTTTCAATACGCAGAGACAAATAATAGGATGGCCAGCAACCTGGAAAAGTCAGAGAAATTCTAAACTATGTTAAAAAGTCCGGGAATTTAATAAATTTTGCAAAAGTTATGGAAAAATCAGGGAATTTTGATGGGCCCAAAATTTTTTTTTGCTTAATGGAGACTAAAAATAAATTTATTTTCTTATTTCATTTTTTTTTTTTATTGTTTAAAAATGTTTATTAATTTAAAGTTTCTAAGAGAAATTCTAGTATTTGGTTTTGTTTGTTGTGAGAGTTTTATTTGTTGCCTTTTTATTGCAACATTTGTTAAATTTACATCAGTAATTCAAGGAAATTTCATTATAGTCAGGGAAAAGTCAGGAAAATTGAAATCAAAAATTATCTGGCCACCCTGAATAAAATCTTTCGTGTAACTTGGAATATGATTATTATGATAAAATAGCAACTGTGAAATGGCTTTGTGGCTTTATGACAAGACACAAAGATTTGTCAGTCAGAAAGGCTGAAAACACTTCTCTGTCCAGAGCAACATGTTTTATCAAGACAAATGTTATCATGTTCTTTGAAATGCTAACCAGCATTTACAAAAAGAATAGATTTCCATTGCACTTCATTTTCTATACAGATGAAACAGGATCCAGTACCGTTTCTGCTCCTTCAAAATTATAGCTGCAAAGGGCTCAAAATAAATAAGACTGGTTACATCAGCTGAATGAGGTATACTCATGACTACTATTTTTTTTATTAATGCTGGATGTGATGCTATAACTCCCGTGATAATTTTTCCTCAAGTAAGTTATAAGGATCGCATATTGAATAATGGGCTTTCTAGAGCATTGGGTTTAGCTCATGTTTAGGATGGATGACAGAAAATAATTTTGTAAAAGTAATTGAACATTTTGTAAGCCATGTAAAACTTTTGTAAAATTTTGTAAGGCATAAAGCCATTAGTAAAAATTGTGTAAGCCATGTAAAAAAAAAAGTAAGAAAATCCTGCCCTATTAATATTAGATAATCATACCTTCCATGTTAATCTTCTTGAGAATTTCCCAGACAACATTTTGTAAAAATTCTTTACCACCTTATCACAGCCATAGGTTACAGCCTTTAGACATTACAGTGTGTGGGCCATTTAAAACAAGATACAGAATAGCTATGAATGATTGAATGCTCTTGAATTCTGGAAAAACAGTCAGCATTCATCAGGTTACGCAGTTTACTAGAGATGCTTATTTAGCAGCTTTTAGCATGACATATTAAAAATAGGTTTATCAAGACCGGCATTTACACTTTAAGTTTTAAAATATTTTTTGATGATGATTTTCTTACATCTTATGTGACTGATGGACCTGAGCCAGTTGTTTTAAATGATGGTACTCCACAAAACTTGATACCCTTAACACAAGAACTCAGTGCTGCCCATATTGATACTTCAGATGCTCCTGGAAACTCAAATCTTAAACCCATAAAAACAGATACTTTGGCTAAAAACATCACATCCCTAGAATCTTTAATACAGCCATCAACATCACATTAACAAATTGTTACCCCTGAAATTGTGAGGTCTTTTTTAAATTCAGGACCTAGAAAGAATTTAAAATCTAAAGATCGTAAAAGGCCCCAGCTATAATCACAGATAATCCATTAAAAAGAAAAAATCAAAGAGCGTGAAACAAAAAAACAACCTAAAAAAAGTGTTATTAAGAAAAATAACACAAAAAAACAGCCCATTGGTTCCATTGGTATCATATTATTGCATGATAATGCAAGCTCAGATGATAAAACACATTTATCAGAATTAAAAAAACAGAGCATTTGTGAAAAGTACAATATCATTGTATTGTATGTAATGGACAATATAGTAAGACTAACAAATAATGGTACCAGTGCAAATTAAGTGAAATAAATCAAACATTTGCATGAATTTTGTGGCTTCAAAGGTGCAATTAATTTCTTCTGCCAAAAACGTTTCTGATCCTTTTTTTTAGCTTTGATAGCTAATTTGTACGTGGATATTATTGTTAATAATGTAAAACTATTATTAAAGCTGTGTTTATCATAGAATTATATAACAATAAGTACAATCTGATTTTATTATTCTTAAATGATATTTTGGTTTTTGAAAAAAAAAGGTTTTTGAAAAAAAGTTATGGCTCATTCATAGCAAAATGTCTTTCATAGCATCATTGACATGATGTTATGAAAAAGCTGTTTTTTCTCTTTTTTTAAATAGATTTATGACAGATTGTTAGCATTGTTATCCAATTTATTTTAATTTTATAATGCCCATTAAAGTAATTATTTAAAAACAAAATTATTTAAAAAGAAGTTAATCAAAATTGAATTTTTTTCACACTTTTTAAAACTTTTTCATACACACTCTCCCCTAACTCTCTTTCATACACACTCTCCCATATTCAGAGTAGAAAAAGTTTGCATCTGTGCTATCTTTAGATAAGTTACCACGTACTATTTGCATTTGGTGTTGTTGATCTAAATAAACTTGATAATGAGGGAATCAATCATCTATAGATTTTGAAACGGTACAAAAAGAAGAATTGAATTACCTCCTAAAAATATATATTTTCACTGCTTTTTAAAATCCATACACGTTCATGGTTGGCTACACTGGGTAAGGGGCAGAGAATCTTGGGGAGGGGAATAACAATTTGCTTAAACAGTATTGTCCAAACTAACACTGGGTTCATCATTGCTTTCGTAAACTGGAATACTATTATATCAGTGTTGTAAATCTAGTTATCCATAAATCTAACTAGTTTTTATTTATTGTTTTAGGTATCAATAATGGTTCTTAGACTTTGTTTGCGTGAGTTATTTGAATTTAATTATATGCAGACTGATCCAAATTGGTCCAACTTTTTTTACAATAAAGAGACAGATCAGGTTTGGCATTTTTAAACTGTTGTTTTTTAAGTTACATCATAGATATAGTAAATTAAAAAGTAAGCTACAATGAGATTGATTTATAAATTTTAAAAAAAAAACAATTTTTTTGAAATTTGAGTTTTTTTGATTTTCTTCATAAACTAACTGCTGACACACAATCATACATATGGTCACACAATTAAATTTCTTAAGAAGTCACTAAATAATATTGAAATGTTTTCAAAAATGTGTTGCAAATGCTTTTTGCTATAAATTTATGCTTTAAAATTACTGCAATATATTATCTTTGTTTGCATAATTTGATCAGGTATAAAAGAGACAAAGCATAAATCTATTTTTTTATTTGGGGATTTTGTGTGACAGTCTTCATTTTAGTTCCAAAAATCAATAATTTGCAAGTCAATATTTTTTGAATAAAATTGAATAAATAAAGCATTTCTTGAGACTATGAAGTCTAAATAGTAGTAAACTATTTTTACATTCTTTAGGAAAAATTTATTGGGTTCAAGTTATTAGAAAAATTCCCTGAATCATTATCATTTCTTTTTCGGCACCTAAGGAAAGCCATCTTTTTCTAACTAAGCCTACCTAAGGCGGATTTCATTTCACTTTAGGTTAAAACCTCTTTAGGCCTACTATTAAATATAATTAATAATTTGTCTTTTTTTTTTATTTAAAATTTTCTTTTATTGATTTTTCAAAATAAACAATCTTTTTATCCAACTTTTTATCTCGGTATCTGTTTCTCATATATATTTTTTATTATTATCGTGTTTGTAGATAATTAACAAAGTAATAAATTTTATGTTTAGATTCGCTTTTATTTTGTGTCATATTTATAACTTGTTTCTTTGTCGCTTGTTTTTTCTCAAGGTTTATTGAACTCAAAGTTTTTGTACAAAACTTATTTATGACTTTTACAGTAAATTCCTGTTAACTTAAACCTCCAATAGACAAGGGAAAATGGTTCGACTAAATGATTGTTAAACTTAAGTGAAATAAAACAATTGTTCTTACTTTCACGGGACTAAAGAAAACAGTTCAAGATAACAAAGGTTCGAGTAAAATATAAAATACCTGACATTTCTTTTGATAAGTAAAGTTATTAATTTCAAACAAGAATTGATTGTGCAAATAAAACATCCTAAAATGGTCAGAGTTTATTTCTTGCAACTAAATTGAGCTTTGATCACTCTAACCAGTTTGCTACTACCTAGCAGGGCTTCAAGGGGAGTCCTAAAGTCCCATTTTCTTTACTTGTAAGAAAACTAATAAATGTTTTTAATATGCGGAGAAAAATATCTGATGACATTCAATAATTTTTATATCCATTCTAATAACTAGGGTAGCAAATTGTAACATTCAATTTTTCTATAATGTCTTACTGCACATATTATAGTATATTATAAAGTTGGTTTTATGGTATCAATGAAGGGCAAAGTTTTGTTTGTATAAAATATTAAAAAAAAATTTGTATAAAAAATCTAAAAAGAGTACCAAAAAATAAAGTTTTATTCTTTTAATATAATAATAAAAATAAATATAAATGTATAGAAATATTTAGAGATTCTACTAGGATAGATTTATTCTAACAGTAACTGCTTTGAGTTATCCTAATTGGAATAAAACATTTATAAACTACAGTAAAAAACTTACATTTCTGGCTGTCTGGATATAACCGTTGATTGCAAATGATTTTCACTCAAAATATATGACCTTAGATTTTGATCTTTTTGCTAAACCCTGCCCCACTGTGCAAGGTAAAGAGTTTTTATTTTGTTTCAGCAGCCATTATGTTTAGGAAACTATAAAATGCAGAAATGTTTCGTTTTTCTACTTATTATCTCTTCTGATTTATGTTTTATTGTTTCTCCCTAATGTTTTTAGTTCCGTGTTTTAGAGGAAAGATCACTAACCTTTCTATCTTTATGTTTCCTGCTCATGGTTTAGTGAATTTTCTTTTACAGCAGCAGTGATGTAGTGGTTAGCGTTCTGGCTTCAGAATTGAAGGTTCGTGTTTCGAAGCTGGCTCTGGCCATATATGCATCATTAGTAAAGAAGGAGGCGTGAAGTTCCTGGTATTCTATTCCGCGGTGCCATGCGATAAAACTTATTGGAGTAATTAATGAAATAAAGAGAAAAAAATTGAAATTCTTTTTGAAAAGTTTTTATTTATTTAAAGTTTTAACAGTTTTAAACAATTATGTGGTTTGCAGAAGACAAGTGCAAAATCTGCAAAAATTTACGTACTCGGAAATCTTATTGATTAATTTTAATTCTAGAAAATCCCATATCCACGTACTTTTTTTTATTTTACATTACTTTTAGTTACGTTTGTTATGTTATGTTTATTTTTAGTTATGTTTGTTAGACTTTGGCGCATCTCGTGCGTATAATAAAAGCTTTGTGGATGTTTACATAAAAGTAATTTTTTTTTTAATTATTTTTTCTTCGGAATATATTTTTTTTTTTCTCATAACGGTGTCATAATTTTGAACAGGTTATTGATGGAGCCGCTCGTTGTGATACTCGTGTTGTTGAATCACTTCTTACGAAATTGGGTTTTCAAACAGGATACGAATCGAAGGTTTTTCTCTTTAACTTTATTTTATTAAAGACTTAAAAATAGTTATAATATCTTCATGGCCCTACCTGAATAAAAGTAAACAAATAAATAAGCTTTTATATCTGAAAAAAAATTGATTGCAATAAATTTTTTATTTGCTTAAAAGATTTTTTTAATTCAATTTCATTTTTTAGGCTCTAATAAGTGCAAATGTTGAGGCCGTAATGGCGCTAGGAAAACCATTTGCAAATGATGAAGTATTTGATTTCTCTAAACAAGATATTACTTATAAAATAAAAGAGCTCATACCAACAATGTTGCGTCATCGTCTTACTTCACCACCAGAAGAAAGTTACTCGCTTCACCGAAAACTCTCCGGCGCTTTTCTGTTGTGCACAAAGCTAAATGCAAAAATCAATTGTTATAATATATTTCGAGATATTTATGACTCTTACGATTTTAAATAAACTTCGGTTTGTTTTTATATTGTTATCGCAATGTTTTTCCTCATAGCTCGAATTTTTTTTTTGTTTTTTTGTTTTACCAAGAAAAAAGTTAAGTGTATAATATATACTTGATATTCTTGCAACACATTGACACAAACACACACACTCAAATAAAAATATAAATATATATATATATATATATATATATATATATATACATACATACATACATACATACATACATACATACATACATACATACATACATACATACATACATACATACATATATATGTATATATATATATATATATATATATATATATATATATATATATATATATATATATATATATATATATATATATATATATATATATATATAATATATAATATATATATTTATTTGAGTGTGTGTGTTTGTGTCAATGTGTTGCAAGAATATATATTATATAAATATGTATATATATATATATATATATATATAAATATGTATATATATATATATATATATATATATATATATATATATATATATATATATATATATATATATATATATATATACACAATATTGATAAAATATAGATTAATTAGTTTTATATTTTGATTTGTAAACAAAGTTTAACATTTTGCTAATTAAACTTTTTTGATATTAAATTTAAGTTTCTAAATTATTAGAAAATAGGCCGGGTGAATAAAAAAAGCAATTGATTTTACTCAGCATTTTTAGAGTAATTACCTTAGATAAATAAAAATTTTGAGCAATTGCTTCTTTTTGCACAAAAGCTTTTACTCGTGAGCAGTTGCTCAAATTGTTGATCGATTGCTCTCACATGAGAAAAGCCCGTGAAATTAAAAATCTATAGCTAATACCCTGTTCATACTGACGTTAAAACACGTTTTATTTTGACCGCGTATAAAATCAGTGTACGTTCTGCGCATTGTGTTTTCATTGTCCAAGTGCAGAACTATTTGGTAGGTGCACAGCAACAAAAAAAACAATCTTTGTGCACTAAATAAAAAAAAACTTCTGATCCCGAGAGACGAACCTCTAACCCTTAGCGGAATCCACTCAGCCACGTTACCACTGTTAGTTACGAGAAAATTAAATTTATAAAATAATACCGTAGCGTGGGGTAATTGAGCACCATTTTTGAAGCTTTTATTTAAATGAAATAAAAACTTGTCGAAAATTTTAAAAAGTGAGATATGTTGTTTTAGTACTATATTAGGTCTATCATTTAGGAAGGTTGAATTAAAAAAAAAATTCCAGCAAAGAGTTAATGACACAAAATATGTGGGTGCGCATTTACCCCACGATTTGGGGTAAACGAGCACCTTAATATCTTTTTTATAAACATATATATGTTTCATAAACATATATATGTATATATATATAAATATATACATATACATATATACAAATTTGGGTATTGTATTGACATTATTTTATCAAAAGCATCATACTTTGTATGTGTGTGCGCGCGCAAAAGATCCTTATCTGACACTTAGTCCCATTTTTGGGTCATCCTGGCCCCCTGCAAAAAATTAAATCCAAAGACAAACAATGCAGCAGACGAATTTTCTTTATCTAATCTAATATTCTTTACCTAGCATTCAAATAAACTTAGATATTTTTTATTTGTATGTTGAACATAATCAAATGGAACAATTTTTTTTTATTTCAATTTTCATTATTTATTAAAAAAAGGTTTCTTGTGTATTAAAAAAATAAATAATCCAGACAAACTAACCGGACTTCTTATCACCCTGACTCATATTATATACATGGGTGGTAGATGTGAACACTAGTATAAACTTACATAAGTTTAAAATTGGTTTAAGTCAACTTTCTCAAACATAAAATAAACAAATGAAAAAATAGTCTAATATATTTTGTTCAGACTTTATAACAAAATAAAACAAAAAAACATAAATATATGATACAGATATATCAACGCATATATAAGTCACCAATGATTTCTTTTAAAAAAGATATGTTGTTTTTTTCATATTGGGGACAAGAAAGCTGTTTAACAATAGATTTGCTTTCTGTTAATAAGTAATCAGGAACCTGCGGTTCTTTGAAGGAAATGATTTTTGGGTTTGAAGCATCAAAATCTCGTCTAAAGTATTTAATGTTCCAATTATTATCTTCCTCTGAATTTACAACTTGGCCTACAAAATGATATGGTATCTTTTTTCCTTCAAACCTTACAATAACATAAGAACCCTCTACTAATGGATATTTAGAGGTTACAACCATACCAGAATCATGTACTTCTTTATTAGAATTAGGATCTGATTCAAAGCTCTTTTTTAAGCAGTCTTCATTTAAGCAGTCTTCAAGCTTTTTTTGGATATGTGTTTGCTTTTGATGGAAAATGGAACCATAAAGGCCAGAAACACCATTATATAAATTACTTTTTTTAGCAAATAAATCTTTTTTTTTTAACGTTTTACTTTTGACTTTCTGTATACCCTCAGATTTTTTTGCAGAATCTTCTTGTAGCTCTATATACATCTTGGAGCTGGAAGGCATATCATAATCGATAATATCTTTAAAACTATCCAAATCTACTGAAGAAGTTATTTTATCTAAGGAGTCATTCAAAAGGATATTTTTTATTTTGATTAGCTTGCGTTTTGATTGGGATTTTAAAACAGAAGAAACTGCAACATCATCCAGTGAAACACTTTTTCCCGGTAAAACCTTGACTTTTTTCCCACGCAACACTGCCCCAGGCTTTTTAGCAGATGCTTCTCTAAGTTCTTTAAGACGTTCAAGAACTAACGGGGATACTAAGTTTTGAGAGGATGTAGAAATGTCTGCTCTTAAAATCTTATCAATAATTTTTTTTCTGTTTAGCGGTTTGATACCAGATGTTTTAAACCCATTTACAGCAAACTCTTGTATGTGGTCCATATTAGATATTAGATTAAGGAGCAATCTTGGGAAAACATTTTTTCGTAGGGATGTATGAAACCTCCCTTCCCCAATTTTCCATGCAGTAAGCACTTTTCTTCATGTTGATTTCATGGGTCCATAAACTGCAAGATCTAGAGGTTGTAGCAAATGTGTACTGTTTGGAGGTAAAAAGACCATCATAATATTATTAGCCTCACAAATTTCTATAACCTCAATAGACAAATGGCATGCTAAATTATCATTAATGAGAATTTTTGGTGCGTCATTGTCAACATGTCTGAAGTAAGGTATTACTAATGTTTTCATCCAATCTATAAAACAGTGACTATCAAACCAACCAGACTTTGTTCGGTTATATCGTGCACCCATTGGACCTCCAAGTATCCATGTGTCCATTAGACGCTCAGCTTTATACACTGTATATGGAGGAAGAAATACACCATCAGCAGAACATGCAAACATAATCGACACTGATGACTTTGATGTATTCATAACTCGTTCAGCATGTTTAGTACCCTTTCGGAATATCACTTGTTTTGATTTTGGGTCATCAGAAAGATTTGTTTCATCATAGTTTATTATATTTTGAGGCAAAATATTTTTTATAGTTTCTTCTAAATTACTAAAAAATCTATTTACAGAATCACATGAAACTGCAGCACGTTTTCTACAAATATTTTGACATGCTCGATAAGATAGCAATTTTTTATGTCGTTTTAAAAATGATCTCACCCAATCATTACCAGGCAAATTTTCTTTAAAATATGGGCAATCCCTATCAGATTTTTGAAGAAAACTTTGTATAAACAGCTTTAGGTCTACTATTTCGAATGCATAGCCAAAATCACTAAAAGTTGCAATGTATTGAGCAATTGTTACTTCCTCTTCTGGTAACAATGCACTCCTTCGACCAACCACACTAGATTTTCTTAAACCACTAACATGACATCTTAGAGTTCTGTGTGGTATGTTCAATAGCCTTGCCACACGTTTACAAGGTTCTCCATCATTAACAAGTTCTACTGCTTTTTTAAGTTCATAATCTGTGTAGGTTTTGAAAAGTTTTTGTTTTGATTTTACGTAGTTTCTCACCATTTTATCAGATATCTAATATGTAAAAGGAAAACATATATGCTAAAAATTTAAATTATTTGCACCTTTAGATATTTATTTCATTAACAATAGTATTTAAAGGGTAAAAAACAGCTACTTGAAAAGGTGCTCATTTACCCCAAATAAAAGTGCTCAATTACCCCCACATTACTTTAAACAACATTATTTTATTAACAATTCATTTATGAGACTTTAAAATTAATACGAATTTACCTCAACATATGTATAGTATACTACAAAAAATTCAAAACTCTAAGAAGGTTTTAACTATAACTGCTTACCCTTAGTATTTCCAGTTATTAGTTTTTACGGAATTTTATGATTCTGCATCGTGATATATTTAAAATGTTATCAGCTATTTATTTTTGACCAAAACTGTTGTAATTAGCAACATACAATTTAAAAAAGTTAATTTAAATATTTATATTTTGAAAATGATCTAAGCATTGATATTATCTATTTTATATGACTTTTAAAATTAAAATGTTTACGGGTGCTCAATTACCCCAGAAAGTGCTCAATTACCCCACGCTACGGTATCTTTGCATGTTTAAATCGGAAGAATAGCTATTTAAAATTGGGATCATGTTTAAGATAGCAATGTTAATTTATGCAATTTTACGCGGAACTATTGGAAATAATCTACAATAAACAACGTTTTTCAAGCGAACTAAAAAGTAGAAAATAATTTTTCTTTGAGCTTGTCAAAATGTCTGATTATATTCCTCTTATAATAATGACAGATTTTATGATACACGAAAAACGTTAGATGCAAGTGGTGATTTAATAATATTATGACATGCAGTATAAAATTTGACTTAGTGCTTTGTTTGTGTGGATGTATTTAAGTGTATTTATTATAATTTAAATATAGTTGGCCATTTTAATAATCAGTGGTTAACGAAACTATTAAGTGTTGGTCGATCACCAATCTTTAATCTTACAAGATGCGCCCACCTGTATCAAATTTGTTATAAAATCTGTCTTCATTACAAGAAGAATATAATCAGAGATTCTGACAAGCACAAAGAAAAATTATTTTCTCCTTTTTAGTTCGCTCGAAAAACGTTGTTTTTAGAAAAGTTCATTTTTTATTGTAGACTTCTTTTTACTTTTTAAATTTTTTTTTGGTTAGAATCTTTGAAACGATTTAAAATATGGAATTACAATGCAATCAAGCTTGGTTTTGTCTAAAAGATAAAATTTTCTATACGCAATGAAAACGTAATGCATTGAAATTTATTCATAAATTTATTTATCACACTTTTACAGCAAATCGTAGTATATCTAATTATGCCATTCCTACTTAAATTATTTTGTTCGCGCTTTTTAGCTTTAAATTTAATCAGAGCAATTGTTTTTTATTCACCCGGTCTAATGAAACCTACCAGAGTCATCTGAAGGCACGTTTTTTTAAAGGCTTTTAAGCAAAACGAGTTTTTTCCACTCTTACTCATAATTCAACTGGGGGTTTGTATCTGATTCTTTGTTTTCCATGACTAAGGGGCTTCAGATGCCTATTTTCAATGTAACGTTTCCTCTTTAGTCCCATCGTTTCACGCTGTACTTAAAAAATTTCAAATTCTTAAAAAAAAAACCTAACATATTTTTTGATGTTTCATAGATTTTTACAAATTGATAAAAACTTCACTTGTGTCACTGCTTTTTTTTCATTTAAAAAAAAGTTAGCTAAATTAAACAGCTAAAAAAAAGTTTAAGTTATGAAAAAAATGGCTGACGTAGTTTTTAAAAAGTTATAATAACTGCGGGTTTTGATGGTCTCGGTAATTTAACAAATAAATTGGAATCATTCTTTGGAAATAGCAGAAATTGGTATGTAAAAAACGGAAAAAAAGTATAACAAAAGGCTCTTTTAAATCTGCAGTAATCTTTGTGATAATTTAAGCCATTCAAAAAATGTTAACTTTTTTCAATGTGTAATAAATAGAATAAAAATTTGTGTGACTTCATTAATTGATCTACAATAAATAATAAAGTAGTTTAAAATTTGGTCTGATTTGATTGGTCTGAAAATTTGGTCTCTCAGCATTATTACTTAAGCTATTTTCTAAAAAATCGTCATTGTGTTGAATGAAGAGTGATATTTTAAACAAGATTTTAAAGAAACACAAGGTTATGCCTTGAACAAAACTTTCAAACCCCACAAAAGAGTTTGCTTGTTGTTGTTTTTTTTGCATATGTCAAAACTGTAGCTGGCATTATTCAGCTTTAGCTATTTATCGTAGCCGGCATTATTTAGCTGTACTAATCATTATTATAAAGTTGATGTCTAATTTAAGTTTGACATGAGAACTATTTAGGGAAGAGTTACCTTAAATGGAATACCTAGGATAAAAGTTTCTTGAGGACGACTTCCTTTTTATAAACATTAATTAATTATTATAGATGTATAACTCTATGCCTCTTTTTTCAGCAAATGAGTACATTAAATTATTATCGAACATAAACTTGAGCTGATAAACAAGCCAGTTTAATCCGATTAAGACAATTGGTTTCCTAAATTAAAACATTTTGATCCCTTTTATGTAACAAATCTTTTCACTCATAGATGGCTTTAGTTGAATTTTTTGGTTTGCTGACGTAATTGAAATGTTAAACACATTTTATTATTTGATAGTTGATATTTCAACTGTCAATCAGTTAAAAAAAATTGTTGATCGGTTGTGCAGTTTTTGTTTGGCGTTTGTTGAAAAATAGAAAATCAAAACGAACATTTTTGTATTATTTTACTTTTTTTATTTCCATTTTTTTATTATTATATAAAGGAAAAAACGCATTGCAAGCACACAAAAAGTTATGTGTTGTTTATGGTGACAAAGCTTTAAAAGAACGGCAGTGTCAAAATTAGTTTGCCAAACTTCGTTCTGGAGATTTTTCACTCAAAGATAAAAAAAGCTCTGGTCGTCCAGTTGAAGTTGATGACGACCAAATCAAAGCAATAATCGATTCGAATTGTCACAGTACAACACGTGAGATTGCAGAGAAGCTTCATGTATTATATATATACATTGAAAATTGCTTAAAACAACTTTGCTATGTACGAAAACTTGATATTTGGGTTCCTTATGAACTGAAAGAAAATCATTTAAGACAACGCATTAACATCTGCGATTTGTTAAAGAAACGTTATGAAAATGATCCATTTTTAAAACGATTGATAACTGTTGATGAAAAATGGGTTGTTTACAACAATGATAATTGGAAAAGGTTGTGGAGCTAGCCAGGTGAACCAGCTCGAACAACATCAAAAGTCAAAAGGTGATATTCATCAAAAGAAATTTATGTTACCAGTTCTGTTAAATTACAAAGGAATTGTCTACTTTGAACTTTTACTACCCGACCGAACGCCGAACGATCAATTCAGATGTCTACATTAAATAACTAACAAAATTGAACAATGCAGTTGATGAAAAGCGGACTGAATTGATAAATTGAAAAGGTGTTTTATTACATCATGATCATGTTTTTTGGTCACTCGGCAAAAATTATTGGAGCTTGTTTGGGATGTTTTGCCACAACCACCAATATAGTCCTGACCATCTGATTACTTTTTACTTCGATCTTTGTAAAACTTCTTGAATGATAAAAATTTCAATAATGATGATGTCAAATCGTACCTGGTTCAGTTTTTTGCTGATAATAACCAGAAGTTTTATGAACGTGGAATTATGATGCTGCCTGAATGATGGCAAAAGGTCATTGTTCAAAATGAGCAATAAATTACAGAATAAAGTTATTTTGTTCCATGAAAAAATTGTCTATTATTTTCTGAAAAAATCCACAATTACTTAGTTGCTAACCCAATGGTTCCTAATAATTTTAGAATTTCAGCTACAATTCTTATGAAAATTTATTATTTTATTACAGTTTTGATAAGAAAATACTCATTTTTTATTATTTTGTTAAAATACTGTATGATATGAGTGATAAGATATGTTATATGAGACATTAGCTCATAAAATAACTTGCACTTAGATTACTATTTTGGTAAATATTGAAATTAACTTTTAATAGCTTAACCTGTACATTTGATCAAGTTTTAACACGAAGTTATTTAACACTGAAAAATTACGCAAAAAAATAAAATAAAAATTTTTACATTTAACATTTCATTTATACAAGAATAAAAAAAGTGCTGTTATCAAAAGTTGTTTTATAAAGGAAAAGACGATTGCAGCTTTTGTCGTAGGACATAAATTGAGTCTTGATCTTTTAGGATAGTTTAGAATAATGTATGCTTAAATAAATTGATTCCATTGTGCTATCTGTAACTCCGCATGTTCAAATTTTCAGGCTTAGGTTGTGTTATAAATAACTGAAATTGGTTTGTTTAACCCAAATTTAACCAGAAATAATCTCAAACTAGAACTAGATTCTTGGTATTCAAAACATTGTGACCTACTATTAATTGTCAAATCGGTTCACAAATATTTTGTGATTAAAAATATCAAAAGGTGACTTATTACTAAACATATCTTTTAACTTGCCTACTACAGTCTAATGCAATCTTAAGACATATTTTTTCATTTTTTTATTTTGTAACTTTTTAGTTACAAATTTTTATTTTTTCAGTCTTTTTCCGTTAAGTATTAAGCTACTGAAAAGTTCCGTTGTCCATTAATTACGGCCTTTTTACATAATTTTACAACATTTACTTTATAAAGTTTTGTCCTATTTGCGATTCACAAATAAGGACAAAATCCTACAAAATATTGTAAATGTTGTAAAATTGTGTTAAAAGACCGTAATTAGGCATCGGCGAAATTCGTTTAACTTCGCCTTTCGAAGTACTCAAAGTCAAATAGCGAATAGTATCATTCTTTAAATTTCGTAACTAAAGTTTAACGAATAGTACTATTCGATTAACGAACACTAATATTCGTTAAACGAATGCCAATTGTAATTATGTCAATAAACATACTACTTACTATTTGTTCCACTGTTTGTTAAATTTTAGTTAAAAGTTCAAGAATCTGATTATAGTTTCTTATTTTTTTTAATGGTTGAAAAGTAAATAATTTTCTTTTGACATTGTTTGTGATTTGTATAACTTTTTATGTTTCGAAAACAAATGTTTGGAACACAAATAATTCCACTTAGGTGTTATAGGGGAAGGTTGCATAAGATAAGCAAGTTTCTAAGATGGTATAACCTCTTATACGGGTAGACTACTGATTCTTTTGCAAATTTTTTTTGGTTAAGTATATTCATACAAGTTCGACGGTGTTATTTATTTCAATTTCTTGGTTGTATAGTTAATAACCTTTCATTGTTTTATTGTTAAAAAAATTTACCATTCCCATTAGAATTTTTTATTATTTAATATTCTTTAATTATGTCAAAACGAAACAGGATCATCATTGCTAATTCTTTAGCAATGATGATCCTGATTCGGATTATCTATTTCTAATTCTATGGGTTATATGAGATAATACATAAG